AGGTGTCTCTCAACCACTTGAGTCCGTGGCTCGGCGGCGGTCCTCCCGAGAACGGCGATTCGCCCACCAATTCGTCCAACGGATCCAATGGACAGCAAATATCTCTCGGTTTGTCTCCTCTTCTGTCGTCTCTGTTTTCATCCCTCGATCTCTTCTCTAGAGTGCAAAGTGTGGCGAAACCCGATGTCTTTGTTCCGCGGCTCGGAATACAACCGCTTCGGCTCTTCCACGCAGAAGGAGGCGCTCACTTATTACGACATGAATCTGTCGGCTCAGGACCACCAGACCTTCTTCACGTGCGAGGCGGACGTCGGCCGCCCCGAGTTCGAGAGTGAGTATTGTTGTTATGATTACGTCATTGGATTCTCACAATCGTCGTTACAGTCATGCAAACCGCGTGGCGAGAGAGAGATCCGCACGTGAGGATCAAAGCGGCGAAAGAGGCGCTCGAGAAGAGCGCGGACTGCGCGCCCGCTTTCATACTGCTGGCCGAAGAGGAAGCGGTCACTGTTCTGGAGGCCGAGAAACTGCTGAAAACGGGTCTGAAAGCGGCCGAAAGCGCGTACCGAAAGTCACAGCAATTCCAACACCAAAACAACGTTTCGGAAAGTCTGCACCGAAGAGACACCAATGTCTTGATTTACATCAAACGCCGGCTCGCGATGTGTAACCGGAAACTCGGAAAAGTGCGCGAATCGACGAAAATGATGAGAGATTTGATAAGTGACGGCAACGATGGAAGTGATTTCGTTGGCCGACAAGAGGGACGCGTTGGCCGCACAACTGTCGGGCGGAATGAAGCGGAAGCTGTGTCTGGGAGTGGCAATGGTGGCCAACTCGCAGATCCTGATTCTGGACGAGCCGACGAGCGGAATGGATCCCGAGGCCAGACGCCATATTTGGGACGTTCTGCAGAACATCCGTTCGGAGAGAACTATTCTGTTGACCACTCACTACATGGAAGAGGCGGACGTGAGTGTCACGTGACGTGCGTTGAGTTGTATTGACTGAATTCTCTGTGTGTTAGCAATTGGGCGACAGAATCGCGATAATGAGTTCAGGGCTCGTGAAGTGTTGCGGAAGTCCGATGTTTTTGAAGCGAGTGTTTGGCGCCGGATATCACGTGAGAATCGCGAAGGACTCGGAATTCGAATCAAAAAGCGTTTTACAAGTGATTCAAAAACACATGAAAAGCGCGAAAATAAAGTCCGAAATCCATTCGGAAATCATTTATTCGTTGGAAAGCGACGAAAGGAAAGAGAATTCGAGCGCTTTTTTGGTCCAATTGTTCACCGAATTGGAGAACAGGAAAGCGGAACTCAAGATCAACACGTGTGGACTCACAGTGACCACAATGGAGGACGTGTTCCTCAAAGTGGGCGCAGAGTTGGACGAGAATTGCGACGAAAACCACGCTTTCGTCGATCCGAAAGCTCTCCTAATGAATGAAATGGAGAAGAATACGGGATTTTCGCTTTGGTTTCAACACTTTTACGCCTTGTTGTTGAAGCGCTTCCATTACGCGAAGAGGTATTGGCCGATGGTGTTATTGCAATCGGTGGTTCCCGGCATTCTCTTCATGTGTATCCTTCTTCTGGATCAGTCGATTAAGAATAATTTGGTGACAGAAACGCGGGATTTGAATTTGGAGCTCAAAATGTACGAAAAGACGAAAGGATTCGTGAATCGAGAAATTCCTTCGCTTTTCCCCTCTTTCGTGGAAACTGCGAAATCGCGAGACGTTTTCATCACTCCTATTGACGGTATTTTTTATAACAAACTTTTGTATTTCTAACGCTTTCTGTTCGCAGAGAATCCCAACGATTGGACTCTCAGTGATCAACGGCTGGACAGCGATATCGGCAGATATTTGACCACTTTTCTGGTCGGCGCGCAAATCAACGGAACCGAAGAATCGCTTTCGTTGGTTCCGTGGTATAACAAAGAAGGCGTGCATTCGCTTCCCGTTTCCATAAACCTGTTGTACGAATCCATTCTTCACCAACTGTTCCCAAAAGACAATCCCACGATAGAGATGCACAACCACCCGATCGCCACGGATCAGACCAACACCGCCATAATGATGGTCAGAGTGACACTCATTGTCTCGTGTCTATTACTCGTTCCGCTCACCGTTCCCTTAATCGGCGCCTCTTACGTCCTCTTCCCGATTCACGAGAGAGTTTCCAATTCAAAACTCTTGCAACTAATGACTGGCATCTCTTCGGCCACGTTTTGGGCCGCGAGCTTCTGCTTCGATCTCTTCAACCATTTCATCGCTTCCGTCTTTTTGTTCGTCATTTTCGCGATCTTCGACTCAAACAAAGTGTTCATCGGAACAGGTATTCAGTAATAACACAACATAACACTGATTACGCCTTTCCTCGCAGTGAGCAACGGTTCGGGACTCTTCCTCATGTTCTTTTTGTTCGGCGTTGCGGCCATTCCGTTGGCGTATCTCTTTTCGCTGCGCCTCTCACTGCCGTCCACGGGTTACGCCACTCTCGTCATAATTCTGCTGCTGACGGGTCTCGTTCTGGTGCTCACGTTCGGCATTCTCGACCTGATGCTGCTCTCGGGCTCTGACGTGATGTCACGCGACACGTTGGACGCGCTGGTCATGACTGCGCGCGTTTTGCCCGTCTTTTCCATGAGTTTCGGCATTCAAAAGCTCTATAAAGTCGGGTCCTATCAGAAGGCGTGTTTGGATTCGGCGAAAGAAACGCTTCTCAAAGTCTGCATTCCGACGCTCAGAACCGACGATCCGTTTTACGGCTGTTGCGATAACCTGTGTCGTCACAGAGGAGAGTGTTACGACCAGTTGAACGCTCTTCGCTTCGACGAGAAAGGCATAAACAGTGCTCTCATTGTCGCTATTCTAATACAGTGTTCTCTCCGCAGGCGTGGCCGTGGAGTTCCTTTTCCTGATCGGTTCCGGAATTGTCTTTCTTCTCATTCTTTGGTTAATTGAAGGAAATTTCGAGAAAATTCTTTACGCTTTCGAAAAATATCGAAAGAAACCCAGAATTCAAAACAATTCAACGATTCTCGCGATGAATAACGAGAACATTGTCGAAGACCGTGACGTCAGCGACGAGAGGAGACGAGTCGTCGACTTGACGAACAACTTCTCGCTCTTAACGAAAGACGCGATTGTTGTGAAAGAGTTGAGCAAAACTTTCGGAAAACTGATTCCTTTTCGAGCCGTAAATCAGTTGTCGTTTTCCGTCCGCAAAGAAGAGTGTTTCGGACTGTTGGGAGTGAACGGCGCGGGAAAGACCACAACCTTCCGCATGTTGACGGGCGACGAGACGCTGTCGGCGGGAAACGCGTGGATCGACGGCTTGTCTTTAAGACAGGAGTTGAAAGAGTTCCAGAAGAGAATCGGCTATTGTCCGCAATTCGACGCTCTGTTGTCGAAAATGACGGGAAAAGAGACGCTTTACATGTTCTGTCGGTTGCGGGGAATGAAAGAGCGCGCGATCGAGAGCTATGTAAGGGATTTGGTGGAAATGGTGGATTTGCAACAACACGTGAACAAATGTACGCAACAATACAGCGGCGGCAACAAACGCAAACTCTCGCTCGCCATCGCGTTGTGCGCCGCGCCGCCCGTCATCTTCTTGGGTGAGCACAGGTGTACTGTCCTGTTGTGTCATTAAGTGATTGTCTCCGCAGACGAGCCCACGTCGGGAGTGGACCCGTCGGCCAGGAGGAAGATTTGGGCGACGCTTTCGTCTCTGCAGGAGAAATACGGATCGGCTTTCATTCTGACGTCACACTCGATGGAAGAGTGCGAGGCTCTGTGCGCGCGCGTGGCCATCATGGTCAACGGCCAGTTCCAGTGCTTGGGATCTGTTCAGCACTTGCGGTCAAAGTTCGGACAGGGATTCACTGTGATGGCGAAACTGAAGCGCGAGTTCGGTAAGCATTCACTCATTGTTTGCCACGAGTATTGACGGATTTGCAAAACAGCTGACGATCCGCAATATATGCGCGAAATTCAACTGCGATTTCACGAGCGGTTGCCGTCGGCGCTGTTGAAGGACGCGCACCAATGTCTGCTCCATTACCACATCACCGACGCGTCCACCAAATGGTCGCAAATGTTCGCAATTATGGAACGAATGAAAGCCGAGTTCTGTTTCGAGGATTACGTCATTTCCGACACGACCTTCGAGCAGATCTTCCTGTCGTTCGCGCGGAAACAGAGACAGCAATAGCATTGTTTGCTTTCATTATTTATTTGCATTAAATGTCGGAATAAATATATTGTTTAAATGCGAGACAATTGTTGCAAAAGCGAAGACGGAAGCAAGGATTCCATTTTGTCGACAACAAAGCCCAACGGCAGCGACAGCCACGAGACGAGCTGTAAATGAGAGAAGGGTCAGAGGTGAGAGTGAGGGGTCAGGGGTGAGTGATTACCAGTTTGGCGAGAGAGCCCATGGGTTCGGGGTATTGATGAGTGAGGAGCGCGAGAAGTGCTGTTATGGAACACAATCCGGCCGTAAAGAGGATGAAAAACGGAAGTTCTTTCTTCGGATAAACGGACACTTCGTGGAAGAGCGGCAACAGTTCGCGGTCAGTGTTTTCCGTGCAGTTCGGGTACGGATAGAAGAGGTGTCCCTTTTCCAGCGGATACGGGATCATCCGGAAGGCTGGCGGAGATTAGGGGATTAAACATGGATTAAGACACACAGACATTAATACGTACTGCCCTCCCACGTGCAGTGGAGGAGATTGAGCGCGCCGTCCACTCGTTTCCAGTGATTCAGATGAAAGAAGGCGTACGCAATGGCCTCGGAGTCGCCCCTCTTGAGGATGTGTTCCGACGGCAGGATCAGACTCTTGGTCTCCAACAGGTATTTGGGCACATGAGGGTTGAACTCGACGGCTCTGTGGATCGCCTCCACGGCGTTCATCTCTGCGGTGGAGAGACCGCGACGAGAGGCGACGTCTGGCGAGAACTTGTCGGAAACGCCGCGCGCTTTCAACAGAGCGGCCGTATAGCAGATGGCGGCCGACTTCGGCAGATTGATGTCTGTTTAATGACGGGATTAATAAAGACAACACACAGAACACTATACTTGCCGTCGTATTTGGCGAGCACTGCCTGCACGTCGGCGTAGGCTTGCATTTCGAGCAGACCTTCGATCAGATTCTCGTGAATGTTGAACACATTCATTAACGGAAACTCTTTTATCAAATCTCTCATCATTTTCGTCGATTCGCGCACTTTTCCGAGTTTCCGGTTACACATCGCGAGCCGGCGTTTGATGTAAATCAAGACATTGGTGTCTCTTCGGTGCAGACTTTCCGAAACGTTGTTTTCAAATCTCTCATCATTTTCGTCGATTCGCGCACTTTTCCGAGTTTCCGGTTACACATCGCGAGCCGGCGTTTGATGTAAATCAAGACATTGGTGTCTCTTCGGTGCAGACTTTCCGAAACGTTGTTCTGGTGTTGGAATTGCTGTGACTTTCGGTACGCGCTTTCCGCCGCTTTCAGACCCGTTTTCAGCAGTTTCTCCGCCTCCAAAACGGTGACCGCTTCCTCTTCGGCCAACAGTATGAAAGCGGGCGCGCAGTCCGCGCTCTTCTCGAGCGCCTCTTTCGCCGCTTTGATCCTCACGAGCGGATCTCTCTCGCGCCACGCGGTTTGCATGACTGTAACGACGAGTGAGAATAATTGAATAACGTGTCAACAATACTCACTCTCGAACTCGGGTCGGCCGACGTCGGCCTCGCACGTGAAGAAGGTCTGGTGGTCCTGAGCCGACAGATTCATGTCATAATAGGTGAGCGCCTCCTTCTGCGTGGAAGAGCCGAAGCGGTTGTATTCGGAGCCGCGGAACAAAGACATCGGGTTTCGCCACACTTTGCACTCTAGAGATCAAGAGAAGAGGTGAGCGGAGACTGTCTGTCTTCTCCTCTGTTTGGCTCTCTATAAACGACAGGTAACCTAGGCAACCTGCTTAACCACCCGCTTAGCGGCAAGAGCCCTCCTGGCGGCGGCTCGGTGCCTGAGTTCACCAACTCTCTGTGGAGTTCGATGAAGGAAGTGCCGTATTTGCGGAAATACCACCACTCGAAGATCTGCGCGGAGAGAGAGAGACAGGGATCAGTTGGGGTGACAATATTGACGTGAATGACGGACGAGAATGAGGCCGGAGATGAGCGAAGAAGTTCCGGTGAGCGCCACGTAAAACTTGGGCGTCAGAGTGTTTAAGAACATCGAGGCTGTGGACAGAGAGTCACGTGAACGACATGTGGAGGAATACGCGAAGAACGCTATTTACCCATTGTTTTGATCCAAAGTTTTGTCTTCTTTTCAATCAATTGTTTGAAAATATAATCCAATAAAACAACTCATCGTTCGATTAATTATCACTTTTTTATTACGAAATTCCCATTAGTTTTGTGTCCATAAAAGGGACCAAAAATACACACATTTTCCAAATGTTTTTTAATCATGAGTTTTATTCACAAACAAAGTTACGTTTATTTCAATATAAATGTTCACAAATAGAGTTACAATTAGAAAGGGGTTTGAAATGAATAGGGATTTAATGGGAGATATTGTCGCGCGAGAGAGTGGGCGCAAGCGATCACCCGATTGGCCGACAGTTGCGACTGAGATCTGCAATGAGTTCTGATTTGTTCGCGAGTTTCGAGTTTGAGAAGAGTTTCTCGCGATTCGAGACAAAAGCCGATCACAAGATAGACGAAGAATTGCGGACCGAATGTCACGCAATGGTCGCAGATTTTGAACCAATCGGAGCGCAGAAACACTTCGGAGAAGAACGACGTCATGAGAGGGACGGAAAAGTCCGAGTTTTCCACTTTGAGTTCGAGGAAATGTTTCGCCAATTGTTTGCTTTGCATTTCCAGCAGTTTTCGAATTAAAGCCAAAACTTGGGTTTTTTCGACTTTTCTGTCGAACAGGAAATTGTTGTGAACGAGAGATAAGCAGAAGAAGAACGACAACTCTTTCGGCATTTGTTTCGCGAAAGGAAAGCAAAAAAGCGCCAAATTTTCGATCAAACAGTCGTTCAGTATTTGGGGTTTGAAATGAATTAATTGCGCCAACAATGAGAGTAAGCGCGAGAAATGCGTTTCCGAAATGAAATGAAATGTTTTCAGAGTTTCTCTCAATTCTGGAATCAATTCTCGAGACAGAGATTCAATATTTTTGTGCAATTCTTTGTTCGGAATTCCCATTATTTGCGCGTAAATGAAAAACCGGTACTTTTCGGGGAATCGCCGGTATTTGGCCAACAATTGGAGCGAAATGTCTTTCACGCTCTTCTCTTCGCTCTTCTTTTTCTGCCATTTCTTCGCTTTTCTCTCGAAAACGAGAATTAAATTCGACTTTGAATTCAACAATAAAAACATGTCTTCTTTTCTCGCGATTATCTTCTCCTCAAATCGTCGCTCACTTTCTGTCACTCTTTTCGTCGCAAATTAGCAGAGTAACAAGCAGAGCACTTAGCTTTACAGCAATAAAAGCTCTGAAAAGCAGCGTTTTTTAAACAGCATAAAAGCTTCTTTTTCGCAAAAAAGCTTAAAGTTGTTGTTAACCTTACAAAATGAATCGCAAACGAAAAGCGCTTCTCTATAGACACTGAGCGCGAGATTGGGTCCGAAAAAGAGCGACTTTTGGCACTTCTTGTCATTTAATGTTTTGTTCGAACGAAACGTCAAGAGATTCCAAACGATTGCCGCGTCATAAGCCGATGACGTCATCATTCGGTCTCTCGTGTCGAACGAGACGTCACTTATTGTCGATTTGTGCGAACATTCGATCGAAACCAGAGATGAACTCAAAAGAGAGTCGAAACTCAGTTCTGGACGAAGAAAGACATTGACATAAAATAGACAGTCCTTCAGAGAGAGACTCACCGAAGAAGTGGATGCGATTGGCGTCGGCGGTCGTGGCGACCAAACCACACGTGACGTCATCGCAATCGCTGTCCACGAAAGCCAAACACGTGACCGAAGAGTGAACTCGTGTCGACAACTGGAACCGCTTTTGTGACAAATCCAAGACATAAATGGCTCCCAATTTGTGGGCGAAGGCCACGAGACGTCCGGAAGCGTTGACAGCGGCTCTCGTGACCGCGAATTCCGAACAGAATTCCAGTCTTTCGCTGCAATTGAGGACAAAGTGAGTGAAAGTGTGGCGAAAATGTTTCCCTCATTATT